TGTTAGCGCTCTAATATCATGAGGATTAGAAGCTCTTGGAGGGTCGAGTCCTGCAGTCTTGTAGGCACGTAGTATGACAGTTCTGATCCAAAAGGAGATAGTAGTACGTGAGACTTCAGTCTGCGTAGCTTGTTGATGGAGGAAATAAATCTCTTGAATTTTTCCCTCCTGTTTGGATCGGTGGAAATATTTTCAGTGCTCTTACTGGCCATCGTGATAGATTCATCGTATCATGGGGTCCAAGTATATCATCAAAGTGTGATCATAAACCTCACTTGTGAGGTGTTGGAGCACTATATTCAGATCCCAAGTTGGAGGCGTGAAACTCCGCTTTAATCCTCCAATCGAAAGCTCGTGAAAGCAAGGCGAGTAACTGGGTTTAGGTTAACTTGACCGTTCTCAGTTATGACAGAGCTATTACTGCAAGATAGGTGGACAAGTTGAGCCTTTTAAAATCTTAGTCTGACGTAGATAACATAAGTAGTCAGCCACTTGAGGATGAGTAGCATATCTAGCTGTAAATCCTTCCTTTGCAGCATAATTGACAAACTGTGCCATTTGTCATCGTATAAGTTGCAAGTTGAGTTACGCAGGGCAAGCTAGACTGCTTTGCCGCTCTGGCTGAATAACTTGTTATTCAGACACGCCTTGATACAATCCATACGTGAAATTGGAATATATCTGGCTTTCCGTGCGCTTGTTTGGTGTGCGGATGTATTAACAGATTCGAAAGCACTCTGTAAGATGTAGTATTGGTTGTCCGATTTCTTGAATAAGAGTTGGAAACCACGCGTTCGCTGGTCAGTAGGCCGCACACCAAATTCAGATGGAGGCTCTGGCGCTTGACTGATTTTGAGTAAACCTGTGAAATTAACGCTGGTGGCGGAACAGCTGCACGCGCTGAGTCCTTCCCACGATATGCTTAGTGCTTCTGTTGCCAAAGCTAGTGGGTCTGGAACTGGCGATACGAATGTTGTCAGTTGTTTGTTGAATCGAAAGTGGCAAATAGGTCTATTAGTGTAGTTCCTATTTCCTTGATAATTTGAGTGAATATCTCTGTATGGAGCATTCATTCTGTCGGCGATGGTATGTGTGGCCGAGAGAGAGCGTCTGCTATCACATTCTTTGCTCCCGGAATGTGATATGCTCTGACATGTATGTTGAGATTGTCGATTAAATCGAACAATTGAAAACATAGAGTCGATAGGTTCGGCGACCTGGTTGAGCTTAGTTTGTTCACATAAAACGCCACTGTCGAATTGACTGTGTGAATCATCCACTGGGTATACTGTAGTAAGTTGCTCCAGTGCATTAAGGCGTGTATTACTGCTTGCATCTCTAGCAGATTTATGTGTAATATGCTCTCTTGATTGCTCATAGCCCTGATGCCGTCCTGTTGGCAAAATGGGCTCCCCAACCTTGTAGTGACACATCTAGGTAGAGAAGTGTTATCGTTTCCAGCTCTATTAACGAGACGCCTATTCAAACATTCGATCTCTTGGTCCACCATAGTAGATGAGGTTTGACCTGAACCGGTAAATTGAACGGTAGAGATTCGTCTAGATGCGAATTGATGATGACTTGTAACGGATGTAATAGTAGTCTGCCTCTGCCTGTCATGTCTTGAGCTGAAGTGCGTAACCCCAACAGGCTCTGTCACTGTCCTAGTGGTAGCGGAGATAGTAAGGCTTGTGGAATGACTGTTGGATCTTGATCCATGGTCCTCCGGTACAATTATACGATTCTCTGCAAGTTACAAATCAAAACCTAGAATTAGCAGATCTTCATGAAGGTTCTAGGTCCAACTTAAGTAGGTTTACTAACCATCTAGTTGTGTTAGTAGCTTGATGATGAATTCAACTGTAGTCTGAGACGCTACGGATTTGGATCCATTTGTATCCCGTCGAGAAGTCCTTGACGATGTAGGTGCACAACCAGGGGTGACTGCCATCGTTGAACTTTATGTAAAAAATCGCCTGACTGCCGTGCCCTCGTCCTTACTTGACAGGGGAGGTCTCTAACCTCAAGAAGGCAGCCCAATCATAAAGGTTCAGATTAGCTGGACTGTAAGGAGGCTTGCTCGTTCACTGATATATTGTTGTCACTTGCAACCTATGTCTTGAACTTTGAACTATGATCGACCTCTGCGTAGGGCGTTGTCCATCTCGGTCCAATCAGAACAAGGTATTTTGATTCTGTAGAGTACCCAGCTGTGATGTCACGGTGTAGCAGGAAAAGGAACCTTGTATAATATAGTGCCGTGCGTTGATATTAGAACAATCGTCGGTCTTCACGTAGCTTCGAACCCGGTTACCCGAAAGTGACCACGTGTTTCGAGGGTTAATGGTAAACGCTAGCTGAAACCTCCGCCGAGAAATACCTCGCTCTGTAATATTAATGCTGGGTAGGTTATTTTCCAGGCTGTCGAAAATAACTTCAGTCTTGAAGATAATTCCGACTTCCTTATATAAGGTTCAATAAAACTTGCAAGTTGTCAGCTTGTAGACTGTTAAAGCTGAACTTGTTGTACATATTTCTTCTCAGGAAATTGTTGACAATTATGAGTTTTACTCGCTGTAACAAGGCTGCTGTTCAATTTCGTTATTGAATTGTCTGCAGATCTGCGTAATGGTCACGCATGTAGATAATCGTATCGTAGTCCGGGATTGCATACCTAGCAATCTATATGGAAATGTTGATTCCTGTGAAGATCTACGAAACGTTGTTGATGCCCTTGATGTAGGTAGTCGGCTTGAAGATCCTTAATTAGGCTCTTCATCTGTTGATAAATTAATACAGCGACGTTCTGTGTTGTAAATAGCCTGTGCAATTGTCTTCGCGTAGGCTTGTAGACAGCATATGGCATACACTTGATAGACAACTCATGCGATGTCTTGAACGGACTGACGAGTAGCTATATATGACGAGTGGCTAGTACATGGAGACCTTGGAGGAGATTTCCTCGGCGAACGCTGGGGATATATCTTATCTCAGCATCTGAGAAAATGATACCATCCTCCTCTTCTGACGTATGGTCATATGTCGGAGTCCTAGATCTATAGGAAGATCTATGAGAGGACTGTGGAGAACGGACTGAGGAGTGGCTAGTGTACGGAGACCTTGGAGAAGACATCCTTCGCGAAGGCTGGGGGCTTCGCGAACGGTGAGGGTTTCGCAAACGCTGTGGGCTTCTCGAACACTGGGGGCTTCGCGAACGCTGGGGGCTTCGCGAAGCTCTTCTAGGCGAGGTAGAAATGGAACCACTTAGCCTTCACGTCCTTCGCGAATGTCTCGAGTCAGTGTCCGAATCGACATATGAGCGCTTGCTTCGCGAACGACCTCTGTGAATTACAAGGTGCGTGCTCGGCGAAGCGCTCCTTCTCCGCGAAGCCTCTCGCAATAGGTGAGGCTCTAGCTCCTTCGCGGAGGTGGCCTGGGACTTCCTATGCAAGAGCTCGCTCCGGGCTGGGATGCTCCTTCGAGGAGGCGCCTGTGGGCTCTGGGTCCCACGCTGAAGCCAAGGCGGGCTCTGGGGCCCTGTATGACTTAATATGGGTTGGGCTCTGGGGCCCGTGGCTCTGGGGCCTCTGTAAACCAGAACGGTCTTCCATCAGCCTCATGATTTGGTTGACCAGGTCGTCTGAGGCGGTCTGGCGCTGATGATGAGGGTTGTCTCTCTGCGAAGGTGACGGGACCCTCAGTCAAAATTTCTGGTGACAGCGTAGGCATCTCCGGTTGTGTGCTAATCGCGCTGAGGTGACAGTCGCAGATACAGGACGCTTCTTGTGATCTAACATCTGGAATGATAATCGAATGTCATCATCATATAAGGCTAATTCTGTGACTGGTAAAATATCAGAGGCAAAATTATTAGATTTTGTAGATTTCCCTTTTGACGTAGTTGTAGACCTGGGTGTACGAAGCGTACGAGATGATATGGACGCTTTGCTAGTCTTAGACTGAGAAGATGGCAGATCTTGAGATGCAGGTCGCTTCTTGGACATAGTGGACTGCGTCCCACGCTTATCCCCCGAGGGAAACTCAGGCATGCCACCAGCCGGTGGCGGGTCGTCAGTCAACAGTTGACAGGGAACATTAATTTGTGATCTATAAGCCATGACTGAAATTTGTTTCATAGATTTATCTGCCTTCCGTCTAAAAACGGAACATAAATATTTATCAAAGGCAGAAATTGGTAAATTAATACAAAATTTACGAGAAACAAAAGAACATGGAGTAATGCAACTAGGGCATTTTAAATGTGGATCAGTAGCAGAGTAACGTAGTTTACAATCTGTGCAGATTCTCATTCACGTAAACTACTGAACAATCACGGCGAACCGTGAATAAACAGCAGAAACACAATTAATAATCAATGCAAAATTGAATAAGGATACTAGTAACACCTCTATACTAAGTATAAGAAGTACTAAACTAAATATAAATAAAGGATATAGTGTGTTGGGAGAAACAGACGCTCTCACGTCCAGCTCACTGGGCGAAGAAGGAGAGAGTGAGGCACATAGGTTGAGGTGGCGCCCTCGTTCCCGCGCTTGTGGAAGGGAGGTAACTCGTGGTGAGTACTAATTAGTGATTTTTTAATTGAAGGGAACTTCAATTGGGAGATACACGTGTTCCACTATGTTCGCAAGAAGAAGAAGACAAGCAATAAGCATGAGTCAGGATAAGGAAAAATAATTAAATTTATTTTCTGACATATGAGTAATGTAAAAATATTTTGAAAACAACAACTAAAAACACCTACCTACCTACCCTAGTTCTGAAATGTAGGAAATCGGAACCACAACATTTATTTTTTTTGGGCCTTAGGAGAAAGTTTCTCTCTGAATGTTCTACACAACAAAATTCTGACAAAACAATGTTGAACTTCAAACATATGTCTGGATCAATTTGTAAAGATCTGGATCAAGTTGGTGGAAAGGTTCTCAAGGAGATATATAGATGTATGTATAATTCCTGGTAATACACTTGTACTCTACCTCTGCCTCTGTCCATGCTGCAGTCTCAGTGGGAGCTGCAGGTGACGCTGCTGGCGGGGAGGTCGCTGCACTCTGAGGTGGTGGCAGTGTGCTGAAGCAATGCAGTATGTATGGTACATATATCATTAGTTACATCACCATTTGACAGGTAGTACAAGATAGCCTGTTTTAATCCAAATTTCCTTCAGCCTTTAGCTTCAGTAAATGCAGATTCAAACAGATTTACCCATCATATTTTAGGTGCTACTTGTGTGTTTTCCAGAACCATTTTGATGCATTTTTCTTCTATTTCTGCTGCAGTATTGGACATAAAGCATTTCTCCATAATTGTTGTCGCAGATGAAGTTTATCAACCAATATTCAAAGGGACATAACTCTTCTAGCCCTTAACAGCTGTGTAATAACTGACTGGTTATTTCACTCTTTAGTTTATATATTGGTTCCAATCTGTTTCCACTTCATAGATAAAAAGCAGTATATTCTCAAAAACATTTGATAAAAAGAATGTTTTGTGGCAAAAACAGTTGAATTATCCATTTGAGTTGGATTCTAAAGAAATTCCCACATTCAGGACACACCAGGGAACAGGACAGAAATCTAACCCAGGCTCTTGAAAATTATTCTTTGAATTCATACAGGAAACATATCCCTTATTAAATCTACATGAACACAGGAAACACTACCAGTGTGTGTGTGTGTGGATGTGTGTGTGGGATGTGTGTGTGGGGTGTGTGTGTGTATGTCCCCAGACTCACTGTAGGTGTTCCTCCAGGATGTTTGTTGTAACGGAGAGATCATGATCCTCCAGATACATCAGCATATCGTCAATCTGTAACATAATACAAGTTGATATGCAGTCCAACACCACCATTAACTCCTAACTACACTCATGGACACACAGACTTCCAAAACATCTTCAGCCAGGATATAGGTGGATATTCCTAATATCTCGCAGTGAGACATTGTTTCATACACCACATGGAATGCCAGCTTTGGATTAGCTGAGCAGTTTTTATTACTTGGTTTATTGTTTGGTTACCATGGTAACTGATACCCCTGATACCCTTCATAGTGAGAAGATTCTGTCAGTCAGCTTACATAAAAGACGAAAAATGTTTGTAAATAGTCAAAATTAATAGACCAATAACATTTGAGAGAGTATCGTTTCTTAATTATAAATTCATATGGGTCTATTTATAGTTATATTACCAATCAAGTAAGAGGGAAAGGCTAGTCATGAGTACAGAGAGTGTAATGTTTCCAATAGTACAGAAGCATGGTTTGCTGACATACATGTAATCCATGTCTAACTCCCTAATTCGAGAGGTTGTCGTCAAGGGGACCCATTTCACCCGATCTTTTCTTTTTGTTGCCAAATTCTAGGCATTATGATCCGTAGGAGAATTTTGATATCAAGGGTGTTGTACTAAAACCGTAAGGAATATAAACTAGGCCAATATGCTGATGACACTCAGCTTTTCCTGGATGGCACAGAGGATAGTCTAAAGGCAGCTATGGATACACTCTCTCTTTTTATAGAATCTCTGGATTGAAAATTAATGTTGATAAAACCAAAGCAATATGGTTAGGGGCTATGATTAATAGTAAAGATATTATCTGTAGGGAATATATATTGATTGGGTTTCTGGTAACTTTGAGGTGTTGGGTATAGTATTAAACGCTAAGTTGAACTAATCTCTGGGTTATAAACACAAAAGAAAGAATGGCTCAAATACTGAATACATTAGATAACTGTTATCAGGAAAATTACAGTTATTAAAAAGCTCTTTCCTCCTTGGTTCATATCTTCACAGGCAAATGCTTTTATTAAAGACCTAGAGCATACATGGAATGGGAAACCTGATAAAATAAAAAGAGTAACATTAAAAAGACAGGATTTGGTCTACCACTGTAGAGCTCCCTCGCACAACCCGCACATCTATCTAAGGAAGTGGATAACCTTTATTGAAGGGATGTGTTTCAGGCATGGACTTAGGTATAGATCATCTTTAAAATTGCCTATGAGAAAATACTTCATGAACCGTTGTGGATCTTATCTGATGCTTTTGATGACTTTAAGAATAGATAAAAGAAATAATTACAATAGAGTTTTAAGTAGACATACATGGAAAGCCACATTAAATGACCATTTACTCAAAAGGCTGTAGAATATTTTACGATAAATTGATCAAATCAGATGTACATCATATATTGGGACTTATTTTCTTAAATTATAGAAAATGTATCAAGGTTTATTTTGTGCATTCACAAAGCATTTACACAAGAAAGAACTAGTAAAGATGAAAATAATTGATAATGATCACTGTATATTCTGTAAAAAGAATCTGAAAAGAACATATATACGGAATGACTTAAGTACATATATTAAAACACTGTTAATATTAATATCCTATTTAATTTAAATTTACTATATTACTGGGGATTAACACTGGCTACCTTTTTATTGATAATATCATTCTTTGCGAAAAAAAAGATTCATATATTTATCTAGTATTAATGATAGAAAACCATCCTTGGACACATTTCTAAATTCACTAAAAACAATTCTATCAACTGAAAGATATATAGCCAAAAAAAAAACAACATGACAAAGTTCCAGAGAACAAAATGGCCCAAGGAATTGAAAACTGTAGCATCCTTCTTAGATAAATATATGATGCAATACCTACTATAAAGTGCTAATAACTACTATAAAAAGCTCTACTCCTATTATATTATATCTAGCTATACTGTGTGCTATGCTAACACAGTTATCTCACTGCACCATACTTATTACAGAAATGAACCAGAATAATATTCTCAAATTAAAATACTTATTTATATAAGTGTAGCATGTGCTATATACAGTATTGTTCTGGCTGGATCAAATTGTTACTAGTGGTCATACAGGATATTTCATTACACTATTTTGTATAATGATTTTCCATGAAAATCAAGTGTAATATCATGTTAGCTCAAGACTATACCCTCTTAGTATTTGATGCATATGTCATGCTTGTTTTACTATTTCACTAAATGATACTCAAATATCACCATGTATGCTTCACTGAAAGTTTGTCTTACTACATCACCAAATGATACTTAAATATCACCCTGCACGCTTCTCTGAAATGCTTGTCTACTACTGTTTTTCATCAAGTGTCCTTAATCCTGTATCCTCTTAAGTTGATGGTCATGCTTGTTTTACCATTACACAAATACCACCATGTATGCTTCACTGAAAAGTGCACTTCACCAAATGTGCTTCATTGAGATGCTTTGTCTACTACTGTAAAATAAATGAATATACATGTATTAGTTAAAACTTACACCCAAGAATTGGATGCCCATTACACTCTTGGCATAGTAAACACTAAAATGGTCATGGAAAGTTCTCACCTCTGTCCATCCCATGGCCAGCAGGAATTCCTTGGCCCCGCCAAACTTAAGTAGCTTTTCATGTATAGCCTTGTTCTCCTTCACGGATCTTTCGGTACTTTTCATCACCCGGGTGGCTGCTCAGATTCCTGGATAGGTAATTAGACAAAAAATAATTATGCAAAATATTGTTGTTTCAAACCAAAACATGCAAGAGAATTGTATAATGATTTGGAAGGGATGGAGAAATAGAATAAACCAAGATTGTTCAGACAACATTCATCATCCTGAGCTTGTCCATCCGTTGGACCAATCAGATTCCACCTCTCAGATTCATGTCACATGCTCCTTTGGCCCTTGACAGACAGGGTTACTCAACATGGAATGAGAGAATCACCTGCTCAGCTTCAGAAGCGTCTCCACTGCAACCCTCACTTCCTGTTTGGAACCTTCATCACCCAGCATTTGTAGACATGTCCCGAAGTACTTCGGGATCATTAAACTCACTGGACGGATGTGCCATGTTCAGATTGTATGTTGTAAATATTATCAGCACAAAAACTTCATTTTTCTGTAAATAAGAAAAGGAACAAAACGATAGAAATTGAATATAGACACAAGGAGGTGTACGTGTAGGTGCATGTGTACGTGTATGTGCAGCTGCATGTACTACTAGCCCAGACTGAAGCCGCTTTTATAGTGCTAGCCAACTGAGATACCATGCCGCAGTGAAGCATGAATACCCCACACAGAAATATTATACTGACTCCGAGCTGACCAGTCCTTGTTGTACCCATTAATGCCGAGCGCCAGGCAGGGACCAACAAGTACCATATTTTAACGTCTTTTGGTATGACGCAGTCGGGGATCGAACCTGCGACTTTCCGCTCTCCGGGCGGACGCTCTAACCACTATACCACGGAGGCGGTCAAAAAATGCAAGGAAATAACAAGGCACATAGACATTTACTTTGTCGTAGGTTCTACAATACAATGATGTCAAGTTGGTGTTTGATAGACATAAGGTAGAGTGGAGAAGATAAAGTACAATTGGAATAATCCGAACCAATTATAAGTGAAAATATTACATTTTCTACACTGTACAAGAAGCAGTTCAAATAGCATTCCTACACTGGAATCTGACATGAGACACACGTTTGTGGCAGCGACATTAGAATCCATGATTGACAACGACATTAGAATCTGTGTCAAAATGTCGCCTATACAGAATATAGAAGTTGTATATCCATAAAACTGCCCTCATTCTACATTCAGAGGGAGGTAATCATTTCAACTTGAGGGTAAATAAATAAATATGTGTCTATAAACCACAATGTTATGCAACATTATTATATTGGATGATTGTTATTTTTGTTTGACATAAACACATTTTGATATACATTGTAATTTGTATTCTCCTAACATATCCCAATTGTAAATTAAAATATTATTAGAGTGCTCAGTGAACTTCGTTTTGAATCCCAAATATATCCATTGGTTTGTTTTTCAACGGTAGCTGTGGTAGAATCCATTCCAAGTTCCAATGTTCAGAAACTTTTAATAGAATATCAAATATTATGGGTCATGAAAGTAAAAGCCTGGATCTTATAGATGGTTGACACATTCATTATATAAATCCCATATTCTGCAGCTGACCTGAAGAAGTTTGTCATCCCTCATTCACAATGTGTACTAAATAAGCAGGAAAAAGCTGGTGAAATGGAACAGGTGCCAGTCCAATCGCCCCAGCTACAAAATGCCCCTGAGTTTTGGTAAAATTGTCACAGGGGGTAGTCAAAATGCTCCAATTTATTTAAAATGATTATATATATGTCATATATGCATAGTTTTTGTCAGCTTCGACTTATATTCTTCATGTAATATTACGTAGTAATATTTCTGATAAATGTTCCATTGGTAAATTGATAAGACCAAAAGTAATATTCCTGTATAGACAACACTGTAATACCAATTATTTGCATGTTATTAATGCTTTTACAAAAAAAGGTATTCTTTAACTATTTTCTTTACGTGTAAAGAATTACAAGAATAAAACGAAATGTTTGTATAATATGTTTATTGGCCGTAAATGCATAGTTTTTGTCAACAAGTATGGTATATACTAAGGTATTACTATATACCCTGGATACTATTATATGCAGAATATAATATCGAAGTTGACAAAACCACAAAAACTATGCATTTATGGCATATATTTAATCATTTTAAATAAATTGGGGTAATTTGACCAAATTTGTTGGGGCATTTTGTAGCTGGGCCGATTTGACTGTCAACCAAAGGAACTTGCCGTTGAACTACCCTAGCATTGTCTAGATGTTCACTTGGAAAAAAGGACAAAAGAAGTGATTTACGACTGAATCTGCGTCCATTAGTTAATCTTTGGAACATCAAAAACGATAAGAGTAGACTTTTCCAACTAAAACAGACTGAAAACATTAAAGACTACTGATGACAAACACCTTGAAGGTTCGTGTGACTTACATTACTTGCTGATTACACCATGTTGAACGAGAGACCTCAAAATACGGAAGTGCACGGTCATGATAATATTAGACCTGGTTCCGTCTACAATGAAAATGTTAAGCGTATACATGTTGTGCGCATTAACAAAACTCTGGTTGAAAAGTTAACCGGAAGTACTGGCGGATGAATTGTTGTTATGGAAACACAATTACTCACGGTGTATTTTTCAGTGATAAACGATCTAATACGATACAAATACGTATGACGAGATAAAGTTCAACTGTTTAATAGTACGTACACATTGAATAGTATAGTGTATGGTTAAAGTACCTTGAAGTGCATCTTATGCGTAAGGACTACATTTCAACTTTACCAATTTCCGGTTTCAGTGAGCAGGCTGTAAACAAATGGCTGATGGAGTACACAACTGAAGATGGCTGAACTTAAATATGACTTAGCCCTTGTCGACACCCAAAAAGATAAAAAGATACAACATCAGACCTGGTAAAATATTTTCTTTGTAAGCCGCTGACATGTTTGGGTCAATTTTTATTATGTTTTTGGATTTTGCTACATTAAACGAAAGAGCTAGTGCTTCTGTCATCTCTGGAGTCAGACTCCAGGATAGGTGAATGTTCGGATGTTCATCGTTTCTTGTTTCATTAATGAATTATAAAGGGTTCCTGGTAAGTGTTCGCCCGTAGCCCCCGCTTGAAATGTATATTTTATTTATTATGATTATTTCAAGGGGTTAGGTTTAAGCTTTAGATATAGGACCGCCACCGTGGTGTAGTGGTTAGAGCGTTCGCCCGGAAGGTCGCGGGTTCGATCCCCGACCGCATCTTACCAAAAGACGTTAAAATATTGTAGTTGTTGGTCCCTGCCTGGCGCTCGGCATTAATGGGTACAACAAGGACTGGTCGGCTCGGAGTCAGCATAATGTGTATGACTATAATATTTCTGTGTGGGGTATTCATGCTTCACTGCGGCGTGGTATCTCAGTGGGCTAGCATAAAACCAGCTTAAGTCTGGGCTAGTACAAGAAGCCGCACATACACATGCATGCACATCGTCATATGAGCGAAATATTCTCAAGCACGACGTTGAACCCAATTTCACCTCACCTCACCTTTAGATTTATCGTTATGTTAGGGTTAGTGCAGGCTTTCTATAAAAAAACCCATATATTCTTACTATAGATTTTAGGCATAGAATGATAAAAAATTCCGGGGGTTATCTTTCCGAAATGTGCATCAGAAAAATGTACATATATAACATGAATTCGGCGTTCTCCTGTTTGCTTTATACAGGTAAATCACAAGCAAGCTGAATCACTGTAAATGGGGATCAGGCTAAAACGTCACCACAGCAAAACGGCACCTGGCGAAAACGGCACCATTTGGACATAACGGAACCTCGACTTGGCGAAAGCGGCTACAAATCTTATGGCGAAAACGGCAGCAAATAATAATCTTAATTATTGGGAAAATCTTATTTGTCATTAGATAATCTGAATACAGAATTTTGGAATGCATCTACTCTGCCGACAGTGATTGGAAAGTTTGTGTTAACTGATAATCGGATTCCAGTGTGGTTAGATAATGAATGAGTCTATCCTGCCGACAGTGATTGTAAAGTGAATCCCATAGCCGATAATCGGCTTGTAGAATGTTTCGATAGTCAAAACATCTACTGTGCCGACAGTGATTGGAAAAGCATGCCAATTTAGCGTGAAAACATCACAACATTTGATGATTTAAGTACATTTACTCAACTCAAATCGCCCAAACTGAAGACATTCATGGGATATACACTGTATAAGCATCCGGCCAAATATGGACTTTGACGTGTGAACATGTGTTATGTGTTATGTTGACGGTGCTTTTGTTATCGTCTTTATAATCTTGTTATTTTAATGCAATGGGTCAGTGAGTGAGTTATGATTTTACTCCGCTTTTAGCAATATTCCAGCTATATCACGTGATATAATCTTGCTAATGTTATGAAATGAAATAAAAACCACAAGTCAACGTCATACTGTGTTTTATATATGTTGATTGCTAATGTTTTAATTAAACAAACTAAAATATAAAAGTCAACATCATACTGTGTTTTGTATATGGTGCCGTTTTAGCTCAGAAATCAGTAGCCGTTTTCGCCAATACGGTGCCGTTTTCACCAAACGATTTTGGTGCCGTTCTGCTGTGGTGCCGTTTTAGCTATAACCCCTGTAAATGTGCATAAACTGAACTTTAGGCGCTTGTTGTTATCGATGTAGCAGTAGTTAGGATGCCTATAATGTCATGCAGTTACTGGGGATGTTGCAATTCACCGCACACACAGAATATTCCACTGATTAATGTATCGATTATATAAATGAAATGACACATTTTGGGTGTAATACATTGTGTTCATGGCTGATCCTGGGGGTGGATTAAAAGCATTGTTTTTGTATGTAATTGTTCCTATTTTCATTGATGATACAACTAAATACATGTATGTCTTAGTTGGGCTCAATGTGTTTCCATTGATGATGAACATATTTCCTAAACATTCTCAGCAGTCAGCACCCTACCTTCCTCACTAAAGAGGTAAACGGGTAAGACCTGTGTCATTTTCTTTACTTCAATGGGCTTTGAATCCTCACAAAGATGAACCTAACTTACACATTTTCATGTATTGGTTTTATAAAATTTGTTTTATGAATAAAATAGGTACAAGGAGCGACTAAGAACCAAGTTTATCAAGTCACTAAGTCCAAATGACACATCCAAGAGCCTTGTGGGAAGGAACTGGGTGTTTCTCAAGGATGGCCTTGATGATTTCAGAGATGGTCTACCTCCTGCAGTCGAAGGCGATGTTTTCATAAAGGTATTGCCATGACCACAAGGTAGTTTTTCAGAATATGAAACTTAATAACATGCTTTGAGTCCAAGTAGGTACATAAATGAGGTTGCATTTTGCAGTTTCAGAATGCCCCAGTGCAAGTCCTGATGAATAGTTACTTACAAACACATTCATTCTCAATGTTATATAATTCTTTTTCTAAGGAACCAGAAATGGTTAAAATAGCTTTTTATACATTTTATTGACATGGAAAAAAATATCAACTAACAGCTTATCAACAAGAAGCCAGTTTTGTCAAGTAATCAGAGATAAATTCCAAACTGACTCCTTACCCTGAACTCTGTTCTAAACAGGGTGAGAAAGGACCTGGTCCCAATGTGACAGGCAGCAGTGAGAATGTCTCCCCAGTCAAGCAGCCAGCCATGCGGAACCGCTTTGACAAGTACCAAGTGTGTTACTCTCAGATTACTCCACAACAGCAGCAGAGGAGAGAACACATTGAGGAGATAGAGTATGGCTTGCTGCAGCATCCACTGGCTCTCTATCCTCATCTGGAGGAGAGTGTACCTCCAGAGGTCAGCACACATGACACTTAATGTTTTTGTGACCCCCCTTAACAATTGAATTACCTCTTCTGTTACTATAGTTACACATGGAAATGACTCTCTTTTATAATTAAAAAATAACTGTAGTTGTTTTTATAAAATATTATATAATATTATTATTAGGTTCCCGAACAGTGTTTCTTTAGTGTGATCACTAGTGTCATTCGCTTTTGCCATTAGCAGTAAGCAACCTGTTTAAATGGAAATTTATTCACTTTTCATTTGCTTTTTGATTTCATCTTTTTTGAATATTTAACAGTTGTTTGAGGATATCGTTGACATCCTTGACCCTGAAATGAACATGGGGTCGGAGGAAGGGTCACTGGTCACAGAGGGGTCAATATCAACCCAGAGTGCTCAAGAGATAGAACAGCCCAAGTCAACTGAGCCAGCTACAACTGAGCGTGTGGACACAGAGTGAGTCAGAGATTGTGTTCTGAGTCTTCAGTGCCTTGTCAACATGGGGGCACAACTTGCTGTGCAGTGTTGCTTCCCTTAGCTGACAGACCACCTCATATTTGAAGGGAAAGCTCAATACAACATAGTGCATATAATTACATGAAATCCTTGGACAATGTTGCTGAATGGCTGAATATGATCATGGGTTAAATTACAGCCTTTTACAAGTACAGATTTACTGTCAGCACACTAGGGGCGGTTGGGTAGCTTAATGGTTAAAGCATTGGCTCGTCACGACAAAGACCCGGGTTCGACTCCCCACATGGGCACATTGTGTGAAGCCCATTTCTGGTGTCCCCTGGCGAGATGTTGCTGGAATATTGCTAAAAGCGGCGTAAAACCAAACTCAGTCAGTCAGTCAGTCAGTAAGCACACTACCTGCGCTCATAGATTCAGGAATGATGGCTTTCGTTATGTCAATAATCACCAGCTGTAAAACATGCCCCTTTTTATATTCCTGAGGATATCTATTCCTGGCATCACCTGCCACTGAGACGAGTGTGTTGTTTGTACAGGCTGGAGGAGGGGGCCGTAAGGAACCCTTACCGATGGCTGCCTCGTAAGGAAGAGAAGAAGGACAAGAGGAAAACAAATGAGAAGAGGTCCAGTTCCCCCTCTCAAGTAGGTTGTCTGCCTCCCTGGCATGTGAGCAAACTCTGAATGTTTGGACTGCAAAGGGTTGTCACCAAGTTTATATCTGATCAGTACAACTTGTGACTGTCCTTTATGCTTATGTAACATCAACTTTCTTGTTACATGTTAACCAGGGATGTATCTAGACCTGCTCAAACGTTGATATTCAGCAGATATAAGTCTGCAGCAATTGACAATAGACTTCTCAAACTGGCAATAAAAAATTACATTTAAGTACATTTTTGCTAATATAGTATAGTCCAGCTGTAAGTAATGGTGTAGTGCAGATATAACAAGTGATATAGTACATTTATAACTGGTGGTATAGTCCATATGTAACTAATGGTATATTTCAGATGTAACTAATAATATAGTACAGCTATTAGAAATGGTATAGTCCAAATATAACTAATGGTAGCGTACAGTTATCACTAGCGTTGAAGTACAGTTATAACTAGTGTTAAATTACAGTTATAACTAACAGTAAATTACAGCTGTAACTAGTGTTGTAAATTACAGTTATAACTAACGGTAAATTACAGCTATAACTAGTGGTAAATTCCAGCTATAACTAATGGTACATTACAGCTGTTATAACTAATGGTAAAGTGCAGTTATAACTAATGGTACAACAGCTGTTATAACTAATGATAAAGTACAGTTATAACTAATGGTGTGGCTTTCTAGAGCTGACTTGTTTTTCACTGATAGAAATACCAATGAAGAAGAAGATGCTTCAATCCTTAGTTTATATTATTGCTTTATGTGCATTTGTAAAATGTTGGGTATCCATGATGAGTCCCGGGTGTATTTTATAACCAGTGTTCACTGTTTCTAGTAAGCCTGTGTAGTTCATTTACTGAATTGAGCGTAAGAATCATCATCCTCCTCCAATACGCTTGCACTGACCAGAGAAGCCCAGTGTAATGATATTATCATAGGTTTGTTTTACAGAAAACTGCAATATTTCAGCAGATTATTGCCTTGTATCTATTCATCTATGTTGAGTTTGTTCATTCCTGCATGATCTCTGACAACAAATTTAAGTTGCTGTGTATGATCCTAATCATCTCTTGTAAATTTGTTTAGCACCAAACACACTTAAACGATTAAATGCCTTACTAACAACAGAATCTGCCATTACCATAATTTCAGGCCAATAGCCATAAAATTGGTTTGCAAAATATTTTCCTGTCCTGGAAGTGGATTGAAGGACAGGCCTGGGATGCAAACTGCTGAAGCTGGAGGATGAACAATTTTATTTGATTATCTCCCTTCTCTCCACAGGAAGAGCACATCACCAATGTCACCAATGACTTCTGCAACTGGGTGGCAAGTCTGGGCGGCGAGTCCAACAACATTGAAGAATCGACCATCACCAGTCTGTTTGCCAGCGGCTACGAAACCAAGCCAGCTCTGTCTGTTCCGATTCACGTTGTCGAGCTGACCAACGTGCCACAGGAGCTGAGAATGTCAGCTGCAGCACCTCAACAGCAGCAGACCAACAAGAACCTGCCCCAGTCTGAGGAGAAGGAGAAGAGATGGGTTGGTTCCACTGATACTCCTGTTATATAATGTTGTTTGAATCCATGAAATATGTCTTTAACTCTTCCCAAAAATTCAAATTTGGGAGAAAAGGCAAGGGTAAACATAATACCCATGCTTTGTTCAATGTTCCTCCAAATTCATAAGTGGCATGGATAAAGTTTACTGGATGTGAGACATACATAGAGAATACTACACGAGGTCTCATTACATACGAATTATACGAAACAAGTGTCTTTCCTTATGGTATCTGACTGAGCGAAAGCGATGTCAAAAACCATAGGAAGGTCACGAGTTGGTAACATCTGGTGGAAACTTTGCGTTTATGTTTTTCGACGGATATAATGTCTCAGTTCGACTCACAATTAAACAGTGATAGGGCAACGTTCGCAATGTTTACATTCCAACAATGCATATAAGTTGTAGAATGAAGGAATTCACATGTTTGTTATGAATGAGAAAAGTAGTTCTGTTACGACGTGACCTAATTGAGAAGTCATCGGTTATCCAATCAATCAATGAAATCGTTACGACACAGGTCAATGTGATACGACACTTGTGTGACGTCTGAGATTAGTATGCAGTTACCCATACTTTGACCACGTGGGTAGTAAATTCAAATTATTCTCTATGACTCCATTTTTGTCACTGATGCAATACCTTGCTGCATGAGGATACCTCCACAGAAGGTGAAATATGTGTTAACTGTGAAAACTCAGTGATTCGGGAGAAGATTCCAGTCAAATGTCAGATTTCTCAAATGTGTCAGTTTAGCTTCTTTGCTTCCTCAGTTGTAATATTTTGAATCCATCATGGAGCACAAATACACCCATGATCATAAACCCTTAAAGATGGAGATGCACATAAAACAACATAGAATATCAACAACAATATACCATCATATCTTTATATTTTGCAATTGGAGGTCCATGTACCGAGAGTTGAGAACCCCAAACACTGATTGGTTGATTTGAAAGTACGCTTGATGAGACCTCGTCCAAATCAGAATTCCATGCAGAGAAGTATGATAGTAGAGTAAAAGATCTGATATTGATGAGATTATGTGGTATGTATTATGAATTCTTTCTCCTCAAAAGAAGTAGATCCACTGCTGAAGTTGTTCATTTCCCCTTGACTGAAATTACTTTGAAAAAACACTGTCAGTTTTGATGTTAAGTGTTTTCTTGACAGTTGTACACGGGAACATACCAACCCAGCTGGGTGAAGTTCAAATACGGGGCATGGTATCTCAACCCCAAGTCATGGCAGAGGCGGCAGTGGGACGATGCTCTCATCGACCCCAAGGAACTAAAGAACCAGGAGATGTCTGAGGCCAAGAAGAAAAGCCATGATTTGGTATGTGAGACATGTTGAAAATGTCCTACATACAGGTCAGATTTACTACTGTGTGTCTCACAAACTCCTGCACTGATCCAGTGAGTGAGTGAGTTTAGTTTTATGCCGCACTCGGCAATATTCCAGCTATATGGCGGCGGTCTGTAAATAATCAAGCCTGGGCCAGACAATCCAGTGATCAACAGCATCGATCTACGCAATTGGGATACAATGACATGTGTCAACCAAGTCAGTGAGCGTGACCACATGATCCCGAAAAGCATCCGTTAATTAAGCCTGTTCTGAAAAGCATGGGTTACTGAAGATCAATTCTAACGCAGATCTTCTTGGGTTGCACTGATCCAGCTACCTATTAATGGTTATGTATTAATGAGAAGTTTCTGTGTACCATTATATCAATGCTTAATAATTAGTGGAAATTGTTTTTGCTAAGGCCATTTCTTGTTGTCTTTAACTGAGGCTAGTAATTGTATGTCGTAATACGATTGTGAGGAGTTACATTTGTTATACTGATGATTTCTTATATCTTCATTCAAACAAGTTTCTTACTTTCAAAAGTACACCCGATACTTCACCCTGAAAACACCAGTTGTTCTGCAGAACGTGTAAGCCATGATGATTATTCTGGTTCTGTTGTCTCCCCAGAACCTCGAGTTGTCACAGATGCATGGCTCCAATGCTTTCATGGAATTCATAGACAAGAAGAATACAAGGAAACCGGAGGTAAACAATGTCGATATTACAACAGTATTCCATGCTCAAATCATCTCTGTGTGTGTGTGTGTGTGTGTGCGTGCGTGTGTGGCTGCTTGATATGAAAACCAACAAAATAACAAAGGCTTGCCTTTCATATATACATTATTTTAATGATATGCTTTGCAGTTTCTGGAGCAAGTATCAGACATTCAGACAAAGCAAGCAGAAGAAGAACAGAGGAAGTTGGAGGCAGAGTTACAGGCAAAACAGCAAAAGAACATCAAACCGGAGGAAGAGGTCGGCCAAGACCTAGCTGAAACCATAACACTTTGACCAAGTAGCTGTGATACTCCTTGTTAAACTTGCATCTGGAACGCATGGATGATGCTTGTGTTCAAATTAAAATATTTGGAAGTTTTACCTTTTTAACAGCACATTTCTGTGACAAAGAATTCCTTCAGTTGCATTAATGCTGTCAGCCGTCTCAGACCGGTAAATGTATCAAGAAAAACTATTGTTATTTTTTATACACTCTGCTGTACTGTATGAAACACAATCATGAATGTTGTATTCACTGGATTGCAATAGGAATTTTGTAATGAAAATGATTTATCTGAATATTTTCTTTGACTCCAAATCTTTAGGTTAATGAAATTATTAGTAGATATTGAGAAGAATATTGAGCATATTTCACTTGGTTATGTCCTTGTTTATTTTACTATTCTGTTTTGTATTATATGTACATAAACTGTGATGGATGTCATATCAATATATCAAAGGCATGAACATGTGTGATGTTGTTTCTGCTTTGTCAGCATAGTCTAGCATACCAAAATGTTTTATGAGAAAACTGGACAGTTGAATAATAATAGTGAGTGAGTGAGTCTAGTTTTAAACCCCTTTTAGCACTATTCCAGCAACATCCTGACAGGGGACACCAGAAATGGGCTTTGCACATGGTACCCATGTTGGGAATCAAACCCAGATCTTCAGCGTGATGAGCAAACACATTAGCCATTAGGCTACCCCTCCTCCCATAAATGATAACATTGTGCAAAAGCAGTTTAGTTTCTTGATGCAGAAGAACTCTTGTTTCAAACTTAAATATTTGTTTGTTTTGTTTGTTTGTTTTAATGTAAATAATGCAGTCATCCAAATGATGGTGGCTTATACATAGCTGAGCCTGAACCAGACAACTCAGTGGTTGACATTGTGAGCAAAGATCCACATCGTCAGGGTATCATGACAAGACATCACTGAGCGTGACCTCTGGATCCGCATCGTCAGGGTATCATGACAAGACATCACTGAGCGTGACCTCTGGATCCGCATCATCAGGGTATCATGACAAGACATCACTGAGCGTGACCTCTGGATCCGTCATCGCCAGGGTATCATGACAAGACATCACTGAGCGTGACCTCTGGATCTGCATCGTCAGGGTATCATGACAAGACATCACTGAGCGTGACCTCTGGATCCGCATCGTCAGGGTATCATGACAAGACATCACTGAGCATGACCTCTGGATCTGCATCAGGGTATCATGACAAGACATCACTGAGCGTGACCTCTGGATCCGCATCGTCAGGGTATCATGACAAGACATCACTAAGCGTGACCTCTGGATCCGCATTGTCAGGGTATCATGACAAGACATCACTGAGCGTGACCTCTGGATCCGCATTGTCAGGGTATCATGACAAGACATCACTGAGCGTGACCTCTGGATCCGCATCGTCAGGGTATCATGACAAGACATCACTGAGCGTGACCTCTGGATCCGCATCGTCAGGGTATCATGACAAGACATCACTGAGCGTGACCTCTGGATCCGCATCGTCAGGGTATCATGACAAGACATCACTGAGTGTGACCTCTGGATCTGCATCGTCAGGGTATCATGACAAGACATCACTGAGCGTGACCTCTGGATCTGCATCGTCAGGGTATCATGACAAGACATCACTGAGTGTGACCTCTGGATCCGCATCGTCAGGGTATCATGACAAGACATCACTGAGCGTGACCTCTGATCCACATCGCCTGGGTATCATGACAAGACATCACTGAGCGTGACCTCTGGATCTGCATCGTCAGGGTATCATGACAAGACATCACTGAGCGTGACCTCTGGATCCGCATCGTCAGGGTATCATGACAAGACATCACTGAGCGTGACCTCTGGATCCGCATCGTCAGGGTATCATGACAAGACATCACTGAGCGTGACCTCTGGATCCGCATCGTCAGGGTATCATGACAAGACATCACTGAGCGTGACCTCTGGATCCGCATCGTCAGGGTATCATGACAAGACATCACTGAGCGTGACCTCTGGATCCCTTTGGTCACATCTTGCTACTAGTTCTAACCCAAATCCTGTCCTGTTTCAGACATTATGACCAACTGATAGAAATAGTCATTTTACTGTGGATACCAAAGGGGTCATGATGAAAAGAGAAACACGCATGTTATTTCATTGATATGTAGTTTTATTTGAGTTAAATCAAATCACACCCGGTGATGTACTGTTATATCACTTCTAAGAAATTGCTTCTGTATGTATCAACCAATTGTCTGGGTTAGTTTTCATTTTGGAAGTATTTTCACAATGTTACATGTAGGACGCTGTTATCTGCGAAAAGGATTGTTACATGAAAATTCAGTAAGTGATAATTTCAAGAGGATACAGTCCCTCTCAGATTCACAGCACTTCATCCGTTCATGTCAGGTGGGGTGTTAAAAACAGTGGCTTCCACATCGTCGTTCGTCTACCAGAACGGTCCGAATAACTGGCCGGGAAAAGGACCAGACGAGCTATCAGACGTCCGTTGTTACATCGTATCAAGCTTGACATCACTGGAATTTGAGGCCATTTGGGAAGAGTCGTCTGGGCGGACGAAACTCGATTTCTTTCGTTCATAACTGATGCCGCATAAACAATACTTTGGCACAGCGGAATATCTTGGAGCAAGTGCCGTTCGGTGGAGGTTCATTTGTGGTGTGGGTGTGCCTATCACATGACCATACACCATCACATGACTTTGTGGCGACCAGACAAAATCTCAATGGACAACGATGCGTCACCGCAATTTGATAATCATCCTCTGAACACAAGGTGACAAAGCAAGGCCACATCGTGCACGTGTCGTTGGTGATATCCTACGTCTAGAGGCGGTATCACCTCCACCTTGGCCTGGCAGGAGTGCAGATCTCATTCCCCGTAGATTATGCTTGGTACATTAAACATCATGTTTATTGTACTTGGCCCCCATAATACATTATGGTATAATAACGAAGGTTCCGTTGACAAGCCACGTGTCATTTCCTCCGATTGTCCACCATACTGTTACTGAAATGAAACTTGGGCTGTGGTGGTGGAACCTTGGCTTATAACTTAATTGTGAGCAGCCTGTGTTTATGCATATAACTTGATGTACTTGCAATTGTACATAAACAAGTGAAAGTTCGGAGCAGTTACAAGAGACACGTAGCAAACACAAGCTGAAACCTGTATACCTCAACATGCTTGGAACATTCACCACTGGTGAACAGACATTGTCCTCATGGCGCACTGTTGGTACAGACGCTACCCTCCAGTTTTAGGCGAGTGAATGAGTGAGTGAGTCTAGTTTTACGCCGCACTCAGCAATATTCCAGCTATATGGCGGCGGTCTGTAAATAATATATTCGAGTCTGGATCCAGTGATCAACAGCATGAGCACCAATTTGTGCAATTGGAAACCGATGACATGTGTCAACCAAGTCAGCGAGTCTGACCACCCGATCCCGTTAGTCGCCTGTTACGACAAGCATGGGTTACTGAAGATCAATATTTTTACCCGGATCTTCACGGGTCCAGTTTTAGGCACAGATGTAGATATGAGTCACAAGACTTCTCAGCTGCCCCCGTGAGTTCCAACAAGATGCGTCGATGAGTTGAAAATATCCAGGGCAGCGGGGTAGCCTTGTGGTTAAAGCGTCTGCTAGTCACGCCGAAGACCCGGGTTCGATTACCCACATGGGTACAATGTGTGAAGCCTATTTCTGGTGTCCCCCCGCCGTGATATTGCAGGAATATTGCTAAAAGCGGCGTTAAACCATACTCACTCAATCACTCACTCCAATACTGATGCGTCGATGAGTTGAAAATACATAAGACGGCGGGGTAGCCTTGTGGTTAAAGCGTCCGCTAGTCACGCCGAAGACCCGAGTTCGATTCTCCACATGGGCACAATGAGTAAAGGCCATTTCTGGTGTCGCAGAATATGATAAATATTAGAGATGCTGTAAATACTTCCCTCCAATAATTAATTAATACACATCAATTCACATAACCTATTATCCAGCACACTATTTATATATTCATTTTTGTTCTTCCGAAACTGAAAAAAAACCCAGATCTGAATCTCAGTTTTGAACCTCATGCACGGTTTCACACGGACGTTTAAAATCCAACATAATTTATCGCTTGCCTGACACTTTTTACGTACCACCATGTTTGCCTCGTACGACCATTGGTATCTGCAGATACTCGGCACTGATAATTCTGAACAACGGGGATCACGTGCCTGAGAACGATGTTAGCAGCTACACCGAAACTTCGCTCACACTGATAATAAAGAAGTTAATTGTATATCCATAGAACTCTCCCCTTTGTTCATCACTCCAGATTCTAAATGCCACTCAAAGAAGTTACTGATAATTCTATAGTTCTCGTGTTTTATATTGATTCAGGGTCCTGTACAACAATACATAACAATGAGCACTTCAGTGAATACACATCTATATAACTGAATAAAGAGAAGAAAACCATTATTTTCCATGTGCCAGCACTAGGCCTTAAGGGTGTATCCATGTGATCTCAGGGGACAGCCCAACAGCAATGATACAAGCATTCTCTTCCCACAGAGGTTACTCGGTTAGATTATTTGGTAAGAATGGAATAAAAACGAATCGTCAGGATAGACTTATAGTCAGGATGAAGAAATCAATAATGACTTGAGTAACCTCTGTGGGAAGAGAATGGTACGTGTGAAGATATGACTTGAGTAACCTCTGTGGGAAGAGAATGGTACGTGTGAAGATATGACTTGAGTAACCTCTGTGGGAAGAGAATGGTACGTGGGAAGTTATGACTTGAGTAACCTCTGTGGGAAGACAATGGTACGTGGGAAGATATGACTTGAGTAACCTCTGTGGGAAGAGAATGGTACGTGGGAAGATATGACTTGAGTAACCTCTGTAGGAAGAGAATGGTACGTGGGTGGGAAGATATGATTTGAGTAACCTCTGTGGGAAGAGAATGGTACGTGGGTGGGAAGATATGACTTGAGTAACCTCTGTGGGAAGAGAATGGTACGTGGGAAGATATGACTTGAGTAACCTCTGTGGGAAGAGAATGGTACGTGGGAAGATATGACTTGAGTAACCTCTGTGGGAAGAGAATGGTACGTGGGAAGATATGACTTGAGTAACCTCTGTGGGAAGAGAATGGTGGGAAGGACAATGGTACGTACGTGGGAAGATATGACTTTGAGTAACCTCTGTGGGAAGAGAATGGTACGTGGGAAGATATGACTTGAGTAACCTCTGTGGGAAGAGAATGGTACGTGGGAAGATATGACTTGAGTAACCTCTGTGGGAAGACAATGGTACGTGGGAAGATATGACTTGAGTAACCTCTGTTAGAAGAGAATGGTACGTGTGAAGATATGACTTCAGGAACCTCTGTGGGAAGAGAATGGTACGTGGGTGGGAAGATATGACTTGAGTAACCTCTG